CGGAACTTGTTTGAAATTTAAACTAACCATCTGCAAAGTTCAACCTTTTATTTTCATACTATAATCACTTGGGCAAATTGCAAGTATATACCACCAAAGTTTTCTTACTCTGCGTAGGTTAATTTAGTAATTAAATTTAACCAATCTTTCTTTACTAATTTCCTATTATTCATATTAACATATAGTATTTGATAATACTAAAGAGGTACGTTGTAAATTTAGTGGAATAAGTAATTTAAAAAAAAAAATACTGTTTGAATTTGTTTTATGATTTATTTTATATTAAGCTAAATACAATACAAAAGCTCTGTAGTAATAATAAAGGATCCAATACTATAATAAACACAAGAGCAATTGGTAAGTGACATTTTCACCTAAAAGTGGGGTTAATAACACATGGGAGACTTTGACATGCGACACTTTCACCAAGAACAAATACTCGACAGGAATGTAAGTAACACCAATGCAAATTCTTCTATCTGCCCAAATGAACACAATTCAGTGCCTTTTTCACAACTGAGCATGTGCATCTGCCACAAGTTCTAACAACACACATTTTTAATGAAAAGTTTATCATCCAACAGGCAATAAAATTTTTTTAAAAAATACAAAAAGACATTTATACACTAAACTTCAAAGATAATAGAAGCAAATGAATAAATTTCTCTTTAATATTCTTATTTACCAATGCAAGCCAAAAATCTCAAATTGTATGTAAGAAATCCTACAATCTTACCAAAGCATTTATACAAGATATTTCATTTCCTAGTCTTACATATATAGAACACATTACAGTTATAATAACAAATCTTTTTTTTTTTCTTTTTTTTTGTATAGTAATGTTGAATGCATGATTGTTAGCAAAAGCATGAGACCACATTGAAAATGGGAGATACCAAAATCAAAACAAGTACAAAATTTTAAATATCTAGAAAGTGTTTTAACAGAGGATGGCAAGGGTGACACTACAATCTGAAGATGCATTGGGATAGCCAAAGATGCATTGGGATAGCCAAAGATGCATTGGGATAGCCAGATGCATTCCAAATGCTAAGCAGAATATTAAGAAATAGAAAAATTTTGCTAGAAACAAGGAAAAGAGTACTAAAATGTTATGTGATATCTGTCTTCCTGTATGGCAGTGAGTGCTGGACAATCTGCTCAAAGATGAAGAGACTCTAAACAACAGATATGTGATTCTCCAGAAAGATGCTGAGGATACTATGGACTGATTATGTGAGCAATGACAAAGTTTTAGAAAAAAAATGGTAACAAAATGGAAACTTATGCTTAACATCAAGAACATAAGGAGGAAAGTGGGCTTGGAAAATTTGATACTCACAGGACAGATTAAAGGCAAAATGGACAGGGGAAAACAGTGCATAACCTACCTAGAGAGCTTGAGTAAATATATGACAGAACAGGGTTTAGGAGAAATAACAAAAAGATAAAATTTATTAAGAGCTACAAAAAGTAGGAAGTTGTGGAGAGCCATGATTGCCTACATCCTGAGGAACATGGCATATAAAGAAGAATGTGAATGTACATATAGTTAGTTTTCCTTCTAAACTCTGTATTCCAAAAAAGCAATAATTGATTAGTCTAAAAATACAGTTTTCAATTGGTAGCATTTGAACATCTGATTTTGTTTTATACATGACTAAAATTTATGACATGTATTAAGTATTCTGAAAGGTAACATTTCAAAAAGTGAAAAACAGAGGAAAAGATGCATTTTTGTTATTTGATACTCTTATTTCCAGAAAGCAAAAGCAGCAAAAACATATGTGCCATTTATGGAGATGATGCCATAACAGAGTACTGCATATAAGTGGTTTACTAGGTTCAGAAATAAAAAAAAAAATTGATCAAGAAGGCCAAGAAGGTTCTAGTATAGGATATGTTAATTACTATGTTTGGGTGCCTCACAATTTAACAGAAAAAAATATTTAATGAATTGCATTTGCATCTGCAACTGTCTGCTAAAACTCAACAAAAAAGGAGCATTTTTTAAAAGAATGATCATAGGTGATGAAAAACAGATTGCTTCCAACAATATCAGCAAAAAAAAAAAAAAAAAAAAAAAAAAAAAAAAAAGCCTGGGGAAACAAACTAAGTTATTGTTAACCACTCCAAAAGGTGGTCTCCATCTGAATTTAACAAGTACTGTTCCCAATTAGATCGATTAAAGGTAATAATCAAATAAAATGCCCAGAAGTGGCCAATGAGAATGGTACTGTTTTCCATCAGGACATTGCCAGACTTGATGTGTCTTTGTAGACCTGGCAGGAATTGGTACAGTTTATGTGGGATGTCCTATTATGCATGCCCTACTCACCTGTCCTTGCACTTCCGAATTACTACTTATTTCAATCCCTAATAAAATTTCCTTAATGGGAAAAACTTCAATTCTATAGACGCCTGTAAAAACCACTTCAACCACAAACCTAATATACAGGGTGTCCATAAAGTTCATGTGTACTTTTAAAAATTTATAACTTTATTTGTATTTGCAATAGAAATAATTTGTAAAAAGGATTAGAAAGAAGTAAATCTATATTTTTGAAGGTTTTATTGAAATTTTATTTAAGTTTCCACATGTCCTCCATCATTAGCAAAACAAAGGGTGATATGATTTTGCAGTTCACGGAAAACATTTGTCAACTGATTTACAGTAATGCCTGAAATCACATTAGTTATACCTAAAACTAGGTACATTAAACTTTATAATATTTTTTACAGATTATTTCTATTGCAAATACAAATAAAGTTATAAATTTATTAAAGTGCACACAAACTTTATCGACACCCTGTATATTCCTACACATTAACACAAAAAAGCATACATTCAGCTAAAAATCAATGGCCTTACTGAAGAAAAATGGTCTGCTCATAAAAATTATGGAAAAATTTTTTTGATTAGAATTCTTTAAAATTTGTCAGAATCAAAACATTATTTTTTAATCATTTTAGAAGATCTTGTTCATAATATAAATACAGTATCAAATCGATCTGATTTTTTTTTTTTTTTTAAAGAATGTTAAATTTGAAGTTTTGTCTGTCATTGATAACTGTGTACTGATGGTGTCCTCCCCCCACCTACCAGTTAGGTATTTTCATCATATTTTTTTTAAACAATTTTTTGCAAAATGTTTGGCTTTGATAATAAATATTTATCTTAAATGCTAACCTGTACCTTATGCACTAACTTGTATAGCTTTGACAAATGTTTGTTAAATGCTTGTTTTTAATATTTTAAAATAAATCACATAAAAATACATAAATCAATTATTTCTCATTTAAAAAAATATTTATCGGATGTTTGTGCAAAAAAAAAAAAAAAAAAATACATCAATATGTTTTGCAAAAACTTATTTAAAACTTTAAAAAATTTCAAAGAAAGGACAACATCAGTAGTACACAGCTTAATTATCATTTACCAAGCACATAATTCTCAGGGAAGATAACAATTTGAATAAAAACACTTGACTAACTAAATGGAATTGATAAACACAGGTACAGTGCTGATAATTAGTCGCAAAAAATGAATTCAAAGGGAAGCTAAAAATAACATTTAGTAATTTAAATAAGATAATCTTGCTTATTAAGTTATTGTGCAAGATTTGACTTCAATGCAATAAGCAATTACCTAATTACAATTAACAATAAAGTAATAAAAATAGTTCAATTATGGTGATCCAACTGTTCAATGAGGCCTGAGGTGTACTTTTCAAAATACTGTGATGAGATTGCAATACTATTTTAGTTAATTAGACTTATTCCATTTAGTAAATATTTGTTCAAGTCATTGTCCACCTCCAAGTGTCCAGCAAATGGTAGTCAAGCCATATGCAGTTATCAATGAAATTTGACATTTGTAAACAAAAACAAAGTTACAAGAAGAAAAAAAAAGAAAGGGATCAATTTGATATTGTCTTTATGTTATGAACAGGATCACCCACTTTTAAAATGCTAAAAAATAAATATTTTTAGATTCTGACAAATGTTGCAGAAAAACAAATGTTTAATGAATGCTAATCAACAATCTTTTTTTAACGAGCAGACCATTTTCATCTCAGTACTGCTAAATTGCCTAGCATTTAAAAAAAAAAAAAAAAGGCAAAATTACTTTCTTCAGAAATGTCTTTTTTTCTTCAGTCATTTCACACACACAAGCAAGCAAGTCACTAAAACCAATAAGATGCCAGGGGCTACTGAGTGAGAGAGAATATGGAAAAAAAAAAAAATAACATAATTAAGAATAAAATTTAACAGGGCAGAAGATAATTGACATTGTATTTAGATTTTTGAAGATCAAACTTGACTGGAAAGCAAGAAACCAGAACAGAGAACTTTAAATCTACTTGAAGACATTTCTTGAGACAAAAATAAAAAACTGTTCTGCAATTAACAACTACACACCCTAAAGAATAGAAAAATTTCAACCTCACATTTATATAAAATTGTGTCCATAAATTTTAAGAGATACACTAAAAAGAGATTAACCAATCAGAGTGGATACATGGAATCAGAAAGTCTTAACAAATGCCAATCACAAAATAACCAGATTTACATTGACATAACTAGTTGAAAAAGCAATTAAGTCAAAATTCTAATTTTAACAGAGTAAGAAAATTGAACAGATTTACAGACTAACAGCCATGTGTCTAAAAGATGTGAATTGATAAACAGTTATTTTAATCAGAATGTAACTATATTCATTTGATATCCAGCATTTTAAATGACCCTGGTGATAAGAAGAAAGTTAGAGCTGGTAATTTAAGCCTAGTAGGGGTCATTCCAAGTTAGAAACTACTAACATACCAACACAAATTAACATTTGTGACAGCATTTACTCACAATGAATGTGAAGACATTCAGTGAAAAGAGAAAAAGGCAAGATGACTTCAGTTTAAGTTAAGGGAGGAGGCAATAGTATTATTAGCATATGTAGGTGACAGCAATAAATACCAAAAAAAAAAAAAAAAAAAGATTGTAAATTATGAATGCAAAGAAAAGAGATAGTAAAAAAACAGGAGAGTAAAAGAGTGATAGGAATACCGAAGAGAGAAAAGGGGGAAGAGAGAGTGATGGGAATACCGAAGAGAGAAATGGGGGAAGAGAGAGTGATGGGAATACCGAAGAGAGAAATGGGGGAAGAGAGAGTGATGGGAATACCGAAGAGAGAAATGGGGGAAGAGAGAGTGACGGGAATACCGAAGAGAGAAAAGGGGGAAGAGAGAGTGACGGGAATACCGAAGAGAGAAAAGGGGGAAGAGAGAGTGACGGGAATACCGAAGAGAGAAAATGGGGAAGAGAGAGGATGGGAATACCGAAGAGAGAAAAGGGGGGAAGAGAGAAAAGGGGAAGAAGAGAGAAAATACCGAGAGAGAAAACGGGGAAGAGAGAGAGAAAAGGGGGGAAGAGAGAGGACGGAATACCAAGAGAGAAAAGGGGAAGAGAGAGGACGGGAATACCAAGAGAGAAAAGGGGAAGAGAGAGGACGGAATACCGAAGAGAAAAGGGGGAAGAGAGAGGACGGGAATACCAAGAGAAAAGGGGGAAGAGAGAGGACGGAATACCAAGAGAGAAAAGGGGAAGAGAGAGGACGGAATACCGAAGAGAGAAAAAAGGGGAAGAGAGAGGACGGAATACCGGAAGAGAGAAAAAGGGGGAAGAGAGAGGACGGAATACCAAGAGAGACAATGGGGAAGAGAGAGGACGGGAATACCGAAGAGAGACAATGGGGAAGAGAGAGGACGGAATACCAAGAGAGACAATGGGGGAAGAGAGAGTGACGGGAATACCGAAGAGACAATGGGAAGAGAGAGGAGGGAATACCAAGAGAGAGTGACGGGAATACCGAAGAGAGACAATGGGGAAGAGAGAGTGACGGGAATACCGAAGAGAGAAAAGGGGGAAGAGAGAGTGACGGGAATACCGAAGAGAGACAATGGGGAAGAGAGAGTGACGGGAATACTGAAGAGAGACAAAGGGGAAGAGAGAGTGTTGGGAATACCGAAGAGAGACAAAGGGGAAGAGAGAGTGATGAGAATACCGAAGAGAGAAAAGGGGAAGAGAGAGTGAGTGATAGGAATACCAAAAAGAGAAAAGGGGAAGAGAGAGTGAAGGGAATACCTAAGACAAAAAAGGGGAGAGAGAGAGGAATACCAAAGAGAGAGATAGAGAGATTTTTAGTCTGACATTTTTATTACTTCAAAATTTAATTGAAAACATGATGCAGAGGACATTTTCTTTAAGATTTCTCAAGTGTGCAGGCCTATAGACAATAGATGGAATACACACAGTTTAAAATGAAAACAAGAATGCCTATTTCAAACACAGGTATTCACTAAAAATGATGTTTGAAGTAATAAAAATGTTTAGACGTATAAATCCATTAATTATATATATATATATATATATATATATATAAAAAACGTGTAACACCAAAATTGTCCAATTGTTAAATTAACCATTGAAGCGTTGTATCTTAGAAATGATTAAAATATCTTATTGGAATTCACCAAGGTTTTTATAACACTACTGGACTCTACTTTGAGCAATAAGAATGTATAATTACTCTCAAGTCTTTTTTTCACTGCTCTTTGAACTGTCATAGCTGAAATTCCTCTCTCAAGTGCCAAATGTCTTATGGATTGAGTTGGATCTTTTCTAATTGATCTTTTTAGCTCTAAGTTGAAATGATCCTTCTTCCTGTTGTGACCTCCTGATCTAGTTTTCCTCTCTACTGTTTCCTCTTTTTTAAACTTATTCAATGTTCTCTGGATTGTTCTTGAATGGACTTTGAAGATGGAAGACAGAGGATGAATATTAATACCATTACTGAAGGCCTGAATGATATTTTTTCTCTCACCATTGCTCATTTGGGAAGACAGTGGGGCTGACACAAAATGATTTTAACCTGTTGTCTTTCTAGCTGAATAACTGAAAGGGTTTTTCAGTTATTCTCATGACAAATGGTGAGAAGATGGTTAAATGTCTTATTTGAAAACCTGAAAAAAAGAAACTCAGTTTAGTAGTTTTTTAGATATTAAGCATTTTGTGGGATGGACAATTATCCCAAGCTGTTATACAATTTGGACAATGTTGCTGTTACACCCGGCATATATTATATATCATTATTGACATACACACATGGAATGTGCCAGTTTAACCTCTTACAATGACATTACAATTACTCAATTATTTATAGACTACAGGACAATAAGCACATATCCTCAAGCAAAAAAATGAAAATAAATAAGTTACAAAATACAACAAAAAAAATAAGCATTTAATAAGCATTAAAATGAACCTGTCTAATACGCAGAACCTCAAGATACAAGTCATAATTAATCCAGATTTTTTTTAATTTTTTTTTTTTTTTTTTAACCTATTATACAATAAAACCTGTACAAAGGAAAAGTTAATCCTCTTAATTCTGTAAAATAAACTAAATATGCAACTCGCCCACAGCAATTGATTCTTTAAGCTGAAATATATATATAAACAAAAAAAAAAAAAAAGATGCAATTTACATGAACAAAGAGGAAATCACCACAGGAAAGTCACATATCAAAATGCACTACGTTTACAGAGGAGATTACATATTTTCTTTTTACATAAAGTATTCTAATAATCACCTTAAGACAAAATGTCTACATTCTTTAACTAATATGATACAATATTCAAACACCTAACAGCTGTAAGTAATCTTTCAACTTTCACTATGTAGACATTTTAGTACAAATATTACTTCAAGTAGTACTTCCTGATGAGAAACAATTTCATTTCAGATATGCACCATTTTTTATTCAATTCCATCAACATTCTATAGTTTATTCTACCTTAGTATATTTTGCAGGCTGCCAAGTTCCAATCTTTGATTTTTTTATTAAATTTTGCAATGAATACTTATTTAAGTAATATCACCACTTTAACTGAAAATTTGTTTTTGATTTTTCAGATACTCAGCCAAGTACAACAATCTGTGGCAAGAGGTGCTACATGTTTGTAAGGGATGCAGATGCAGTTGGTAACCAGTTTGTAGCAGGAGATGTTATGACTTGTCACTGATTATGGAGAAGACTTTCAAAACAAATTCAACTTTTTCAAAAATGTATTCAACTCATTGAGGATTTTTATACATGCGTTTTTATATAAAGAACACCATGACTCACAAAAGATGAGAAAGAGGAAATTATATTAATGTGTATACAGATAGTTTAAAAAAAAAAAATTTCACCACTTAGCCATAGCATTTGTTGGATGTCCACATGGTTTGTTTGAAATTAAGTAGTTGGTTTGCCAGAAAGAAAACAATCCTTATGGAGACAAGTTGTCACCATAACATCTTGGAGCAGAAAGAAAGAGAGTATGTTAATGTCCCTTGTTTTTATAGTCCTGAATACAATGATACATAGCAGGTTTACTAGCAGACAAGGTAGAGTAATTCACACAGTTCTTGACATTATAACAGGAAAAAAAACATTTTCTTCAAAAATGTGTATCTGATAATCTTGTATATAACATAAGGCAATGTCTGTGTCTGCAAAAAAAAAACCAGTGTGTTAAAAGGACGCTTATTCTCTTGATATTACTATTACTGTATACACTTTTGACTCCCTCAGCAATGTTTGTTTTAAAAAGCAATTATTACAATTTGAATAAAACCCAAACATACGAAAGTGGATTTATACATTTTCTTTATTCTTGAGAATTAAAAACAAAAATTATGAAACACTATTAAATTGCTTATTTCCAAGAATAATTTTATATTTACAAGATTATAAAAAAATGTGAACCAACTGTAAAGAAATATTATTCACTATTTTCTTAAAAAAAAAAAAAAAAAAAGAAAATTTTTTTTATTCCTAAATTTATAAAAATGTTTTTAACAAAATTTCAATAGTAACTTTAATTATAAATTTTGAAATAAATGCATTTTCCAAGATTTTCTTACATTTGCTCTTGTCACATAAATTAACTAAAATAGGTTGAGAGCATCTCTTCCTCTTACATATTGATAATTTTGTAATTTTTTTTTTAAATTTCTGAATAAAAAGATTTCTTTTCAAATTTAAATCATTATAAAAAGGTAAATAAATATCTCTGTGATTGGTTCACATATTTTTATAATTTTGTAAATAAACATTGTGTGACTCAAAAGTGTATACAATAATAGTGGTATCAAGGGAATAACCCTCCTTTTTCTTTCTTTTTTTTTGTTAGCATAAAGGTCAAACATTGCCTAATATACAATAACTGACACCAACAAATTTGTATTCTTCCTTATTAATTCTAGAGCTAATTTAGTCTTTCTGAGATTACAAGTTATACAACTATGTTACAATTTCTCTAATACTGTTTGAAATATTTTTCAACTACGAGATTATTCAAGTGAGAGAAGGGGAAGAATTCTATGTACAGATTTGCAATCCAATTTTTTTTTTTTTTTTTATTCTCTTGGTAAGTTCAACACAAGGATGAAATTAATGTCTGAATTTTGTTAGACCAGGTGTTATAATAATTAGTTCGGACAGTTGGGTTTCCAAAAGTATGACCTCAAAAAATTGGGATTAAATATGCATTGGAATCTGACACATTTCATTTTTATTAAAGGTTCATCAAAGAATGAGATATGATGAAAAAGAAATTCTGATATTTTTATTTTTGTGTTAGATTTTCAATGGTTAAGCAGACTTCATTTGGAAAGTATCATTAATATGTCATTCGCAGACAGTAGTGTTTCTCTGTATCACAGCTCCTCAGTGCAACTAGACATCCGAATACTTCAAGCCATGACCGAAATCTGACCAATTTGGTGTCAGAATTTCTACGGCTGAGCTATCATCATTCAGCGTGTGTGTGTGTGTGTGTGTGTGTGTGTGTATATATATATATATAAAAACACCATTATTGATTTCAATTATCTATTGCTACTGCAATAAGTTCCACATCAAAGAGGGGGAGTAACTTTTTAAATGGTAACTGACATATCCCTCCTTTCAGGTGCAGCAAATTTTACAACATATGAAATTAATGTCTGAATTTTGTTACACCAGGTGTTTTAACCATTATTTTGAACAGTTGGGATTCCAAAAGCATGACCTCAGAGATTAAATTTTGAACAAGGATTTAGCCATTTAGGAATGACATGTCTATTCAATAAAGCTTTTGTTTAACATTGACCAATTAACAAGTTTCAGCATTACACTTTTGTTGTTGTTGTTTCTGTGTGTGTGTGTGTGTGTGTGTGTGTGTGTGTGTGTGTGTAAATTAAAATATTAAAAAGCTTTAACTTTTATTTAAAAGAAAAATAAAATTTAAAAAAATGCTCATTTGGCCACTGGATGGTAATTTAATTAACCTGCTAAATATGTTGAGTTTCCAAATCCGGGACCTCATTGCTGTTAGAAGAATTCTTCTCTGATTGACTATGTCTTCAGGGGTGTATACATACTCACCAGGCTTGGCTAATTGCAGATTCCCATAGTTGAAGGTTTTGAATTCAGAGTTTTCTTTCTCATAGACCAGTTGCCATACAAGGCTACAGAATCCAGTCTATCCTGCGATTTACACATAGCCAGAGAGAGAAGAGATGGATTCATACCTTTCCCAAGAGTATTTGCACATAAGTGAATATAACAAACTTGACTGGAATTTGAACTTGGCTCTTCAATTCCTTAATTGGAGACACTACCCATGATTCCACCATGTTGAGATTATATATTTCAGGAAAATTTTACTTATTGCACTTAAAAATAAAATTTTCATCAGTTTAAATCATTTTAATTATATTCTTTGGATATTTTGTAATGTGATTTTAAATTTGTCTAGTGTTCTTTATTCACTTTGTAAAGCTTGACCACTGAAACAATTGATTTAGTAGGACAGTTCAGCAACTTGAAATTGTTCTTTTATCATTTTTAAAGATAAAAACGATAATGTTAAAATATATTTTGCATCAATTACAGATGTCCATTTGGTAAAGACAGCAGAGACAAACTTTTATATATACACAAGGATGATTCTGAAAGATTATTGGTCCGATCTACTGCCTAAAATACAACCAAACATCAGGGTTTTTTCCTTTTATTTTAGAATACAATAGCCCAGGCCAAGAACTTTTTTGCCCTCTCCTTATCACCAAATAATTAAAGGCTCCAGAAGACTGAGAAAAGAGGTTAATGACTTCAATAATTTGGGATCTCAAGTCTAAATAGTTCTGAGAACAAAGTTATTAGGATATTGTGTTATCATTTAATTATTTACAGCAAAGGTCTTTAAGGTACACGCCTGACCTATTTCAATATTACAGAAAAATAGAATGACGTATGTTGTAGTCAATCCCCAGCCCATCCTTAACATAAAAGCATAAAAAACAAAGTCTTAAAAGATAACCTGCCCAAGTGAACTTTGCAACAAAGAAAGAACATGTCTTGATAACGGAATTGATAAATCAGAATTGGCCAATGATACATGTCAGGTACAAGACAAATACGTTTACAAGATACTATCTGAGATTATTAGATGAACTGGTAAATTCATTTTTTCCTTTCATTTTTAGACTAATCAATTACTGCTTTTTTTTTAAAACAGAGTTTAGAAGGAAAACTAACTATATGTACATTCACATTCTCCTTTATATGCCATGTTCCTCAGGATGTAGGCAATCATTGCTCTCCACAACTTCCTGTCCTTTGTAGCTCTTAATAAATTTCATCGTTTTGTTATTTCTCCTAAACCCTGTTCTGTCATATATTTACTCAAGCTCTCTAGGTAGGTTACGCACTGTTTTCCCCTGTCTCTTTTGTCTTCAATCTGTCCTATGAGTATCAAATTTTTCAAGTCCTCTTTCCTCCTTATGTTCCTGATCTTAAACATAAGTTTCCTTTTTGTTACCATTTTTTTTTCTAAAACTTTGTCATTGCTTACATAATCAGTCCATAGTATCCTCAGCATCCTTCTGTAGAACCACATTTCTGTTGCTTAGTTTTTCTATTTCTTAAAATATTCTGCTTAGCATTTGGAATGCATCTTTGGCTATCCCAATGCATCTTCAGATTGTAGTGTCACCCTTGCCATCATCTGTTAAAACACTTTCTAGATATTTAAATTTTTCTACTTGTTTTGATTTTAGTATCTCCCATTTTCAATTTGGTCACATGCTTTTTTTAACAATCATGCATTCAACATTACTATACAAAAAAAAAAGAATTCTTATTATAACTGTATTTAGATATCATTATAATACTCATTGCTATTATAATAGCTGCGGTAGTAATATAAATATAGTAAAATTCAACAAATTTGTAAAAAAACATATTTGAAGGCTTTAAGGTGATCTTATCAATAAAAATAACTAAGCTATAATGTAAAGTTTTATGAAGTTTGAGATGTTAATTCACATCACTAAGAGTGTGGCAGAGATCAAAAAAAATTTATACTGATAATCACTGTACTGTATCTTGGCTAAGTTCTGCTTGCAAGACAGAGAGCCATGATTTTATCAGTTTACAAAAGCAATAATGACTGATATGCTGAGAAAAAGTTAAGCAGAAGGACTTTGCCATACACCTGTGGGGGAAAAAATGCCCCAATAAACTCACTTGATAAATATGCAGTACTTATCAATTGCAAAGCATCATACACAGGTGTAAATATTACGAGGATAAAGTAAAAAAAGAGAAATTAAATGATATTTAGAGTGAGAGGTAGGGGAAAGACACAAGATGTTTTTTTTTTAAATATTAAATATCACACTTGGTAACAATTACTGATAATATAAAAATGATTAGGACTTGTAGCCTATTCTAATCTTATCACCAACTAGGCTTGCCACAGTCCAAATTAAGTAAATGACAAAGAAAAAGTTTTTGAGGACATTATCACCTTATTATTCACCTAAACTTCAACCTTTGCACAAAAAGATCAATGTCTTGAATTATATATATATATATATATGTATATGTCTATGTGTGTGTGTGTATGACTACAATTCAGAAGTTTAAAAGCCACCCCCAGAATTAGAATGGGATGAACTTGACAGAAGAGTGAAACCTTTCCATCCCAAAAAGGAAAAAAAGCTCTTAGAGTTATTGAAAAAAAAAAAAAAAAAAAAAAAAAAAAAAATGAAATCAATTATTAAACTTATACTTTTGCAATGAATGCCAACAGTTTGTGCTGCAGTAATCAAGGCTAAATGACAATATTTTAACTAGAGCAAAATTTAATAAAATTTTTTTTTTCTTTTTGTCATAATAAAATTTCTAATAATAAAAACTGTTTCACTTGTTTTAACCATGTATAATAATTTTCTCTTGTTTAAAGTACAAAACAACTACTTTTTGAGCCAATTTTAAAAAATTACTGGGGGGTGGGGTCCTCTCAAACTTTTAAACTGTAGTGTGCGCGTGTGTATATATATATATATATATATATATATATATATATGTGTGTGTGTATATATACACACACACACACAATATGTATGAAAAATATTTTTGCAAACCTCGAGGATGGGTTTCCCACACCAAAACAAGGGCAAAAGTCTGTATATACATATATTCGCAAATCCTTCCTTTTCTGATTTATTAAGTTTAAAAGAACTTTGCAGCAGATGGCACTGTGCTGCCATATAGACTAGGTTACATTTGTCATTTGTGGCTAGTCTGTCTTCAATGTTTAATGCACGTAGTAGTGAGTTAAGGCAGTTTAAGGGTTACATATATATATATATATATATATATATATATATATATATACACACAGTGTAACCCGGATATAAGAGACCCTGATATAAGAAAAACCCGGATACAAGAGAGATTTTCTCTGGTCCCAAATTAGAGCCTGTGTTAATGTATATAAAATAGACCAAACTCAGATATAAGAGACTTCTTCTCCGGTCCCGACAACTCTCTTATATCCAGGTTACACTATATATATATATATATATATATATATATATATATATATATATATATATGTAAAATAAAAAGTTTGTCACTTAGCTGATTGGTGTAACTTTCAGCATTCTAAGCCTAGAGTTTCATGAACAGACACTCTAGGAGCTTTTATATATAAAATCAACCAGCCACACTGCTTGCACAGATTGTGACTGTCACCATCCAATTCTATTAGTATGAATTGGAATTGTGAACTTGATTCATAATGGATCTTTCACAAGCTAATTATATAACCATGAATGCTGGCCTTATGGGTGCATTGCAGTACCTCTCTTGTTTTTGTCATATGAGCACTTCCATGTGAGTTAAAGAATTGGAGGTCCAACAGGGTACAACAATGTAAAAGCATTTATTTTATACAAAAGTCTTTTTTATAGTATAATCCCCTTCATTATCTAAAGCTGACTTTGGTGCATGACTACAAGTACAGAGAACTCAGTGGAGAATAATCTTGGTTAACTGGAGAATGGCTTTTAAATATTAATACCTCCAAAACAAAACTGCTTTTGTTTATCATATATACTTGAATATATGCTGAATTAATGTATATAGTGACCCCTGTATTTTTTTACGGGAATTTTAACACCTCTAGAAAAAAAATTTATTTGTATGTAATGCAAACAGTCATGCATGATTTTTAACCTCTTCAAAAAAAAATTCCTGTGTGTAGTGTGACCCACAATTTTTTTGCATTAAAAATAATGATCATGAAAACTCACACTATACTTTAGTATATACAGTAATCATCACAGTGAACCTTTTCTGTCTGTCATCAGTATGGCTGATGCTAAACTCCAGGAGATTACCACTTTGTGCATTCTTGGACTCATGTTTTCCACTGACATGACAAAAGTTGTGCCATGCCAGACAATTCTTCACCAGAATCCATCTTGCACATTTATAAATTTCTAACACCTTTTGCTGCTGCCTACACCTGGTGGTGTAAATACATTTAGTGGTCTGGTCCTCACAGTCTTAGAACAGCATTTTAGCCACAGGACTAACTCAGCACTGGTTGTTGATCACTGACCGCTTCAATGCACACAAGATCTGCACACAGTGTGTCCTTGATTTCAAAGCGGTGGAAGAACGAAGGTCATAATGTTGCAGTGTTAGTCCAAACTGTGGCAGGTGCTATATTAATGAAGAAAAATATCTTTCCAATGAAAAATAAAACAAGAAATTCATGTGGATTAATCTTCAATTGGTTTATATAGCTCTTGGTACAACAAAAATTAACCCTTCCCACATCAACCTCTATAGTGACACTGGGTCTTATCTAAAATTCCAGAGGCACTCGATGTGGGTTGTCAGCCCAAGTCTCTGAGTTCCCAGTCATCTGCTTATATGCACTTTGGCTCAAAACTGGCACAGAGCTTAAAGGTTTTGTGGATTCTGTGATTCCCCACATTAATCCCAATAAAGGTTTTCTTTATTGACTATTTCTGATTTCTTAATCAACTTTCCAAATTTGGAGGATTACCCACCTTCCTTGGAAGTAATCACAGGTATTGCGGCTCCTTTAACTCCGACCTGCTTCACTTCACATCTCATACCACTACTCCACACAAACTGGGCTAAATTCTGCCTCTTCCTCCTTAGTATTCTAACTCTGCCCACTTCCCAGGGCTAGCATAAATGTCTTTGCGACAAATCTAATTTTAAAGTGCATAGGTAAAAAGGTGTAGTTTATTCTCATTTCACTTCCCTACTATTACCTCTGTCCCGCAAGAAGACAAACCAGACCACTGCATCTCATTTTAATTTTCTGAGCTATAGATAAAAATTATTTGCCAATTTGTTTTCGTCAATGAAAATATATTTGTTTACCTAAATTCTCAACAAAGACACATGCTGTTCTCCATCCTTGGACTGATGGCAAGCTTTGCAAAAACTTAAACCAGATAACCTGCCTGTTCATAATCCTAACCCTCACAGAGTTAATTCTGTTTTTGTTTCTCAATTCGTTTTCACCAATGAAAATATAATTCCTGTCTGCCTCTCTTCCCACCAATGATGTGTTTTTCTAATTTCCCAAGAATGATATAAAGCCATTTTCAAATTTGCTTTACCTGCATGCTAGATTATCAATAGATAAAAAAAGTAAACTCTTTGTACATCATTACAATTCGTAGGGGTGAGACAATCCAGATGGCAATTTTGTTTCACTTCCACATTACCAAGGAAAATGTCTTCCATTCTCTTTCTCTTCCAGTTTATATTTCATTTTGGGCTTAACTTTTTTTCTGCTTAGAACATTTCACCACCTCACGACTTCAGTGTCACAAATTTACCATTCATCTGTGCATTGAATACTACTGCAATATCTGGTCTGGTGCCCCTAATATATATCTCAAGATTCTTGACAAAATTCTAAGAAGGTTCTTTAATATAATTGATCCTGATCTTGCATCTTGACTTCAGTCACTTTCACCACCAACTCAACATCTATCTTTTCTACAAATATTTTC